AGAGAGAGAGAGAGAGAGAGTGTGTGTGAGTGAGTGTGTGTGTGTGTGTGTGTGTGTGTGTGTGTGTGAGTGAGTGTGTGTGTGGGTGCGTATGTGTGTGGGTGCGCGCCAACTATATATCCACTGAGAAACTCACAAATAGAAGATCAAGTTCAAAGACGCTGAGGTTATTGTTTAGAAACAATCCTGTAGTATTTAAGTAGAACCCATTGTCTCGCGTACTTTAATCACCTCATCATTTGAAAATGTCAGGGGTTTATTTCTTTTCCTTCGCAACCGTGACATTTTGAAAGAAGAAGTTCTGCCAATCTAACTTTGATGATGTCTACTATTATTTTAAAGGTATGTCTTTAACAAGCCAATAAATGTTGTGCATTTGATTTGTAAGCAGAAGCCTCTTTCATAGCTGCAATTGACTAATTGTAAAACCTTACGTGAAAGACGTGTTATTTTCTGGCAAATATTGTCGCAACATTAACCCTTTGGCTGATGTAGGTTTGCTCCCCCTGTTTTCATATCGACAATTTGTCAAAACAACCTCTCCAAAAAATGATTGCCTGCCATTGATATTGTATTATAAAAAATTACGAGAGAAGCGTATTTTATTTTTCTGGCAAATATTGACACAACTTCGACCCTTTGGCTTATGTAGATTTGCACCCCTTGTTTTGGCATCGACATTTTCCCAACATAGCTTCTACACAAAATGATTGCCTGCCATTGATATAGATCTACTTTGAAACTTAACGAGGGGTGTAAATTATTTTCTGGCAAATATTGATGCTGCTTCGACTCTTTGGACTATGCTGGTTTGCTATCCTGTTTTCATATGGACAGTTTCTCAAAATAGCCTCTCCAAAAAAATGATTGTCTTCAATTGACTTATTATAAAACTTTACTTGAGTGACTTATGTTATTTTCTAGCAAGTATTAACCCAACCTCGACCCTTTGGCTTATGTTGCTCTGCACCCCGCGTTTTTATACATCGACAGTGTTAAAATTGTAAACGGTCTTTTTCAACGCTCCCATGGTCACACTTTAGATCATTTTGTGGGTAGAATTGTTCTGCCCTGCCTGTTAGGACCAATACAGGTTGAGTGGGATGTTGAATCTTTGCAGACAGACGGAGATATTCGATAAGATATAAATTGTTTAACCCTGTTCTTAGCCACTTGTTGTGACCGACTGCCTGAAGGCTAGGATTTTAATCCGAGTGGCTATCAAAACTTTTTGGAACAGCCTGGAACATTTTTTTTCAAGCCGTGGTGGACGGCCTCCTAAAAGATCTCCATAATGTAAAAAGGGGGCATAAAACGGTTACAGTACAGTCAACCAATCACTAGTGATGATGTAACACTTTTTCTTCACTTATAATAGCCTGGCATGTAGTACATCATTAAAAAATAAATCAGATAATGAAAATGTTGCAGCGTTTTGCGACAGCTTCAGAAATTATTTGAGATTTCGGTGTCTTCATACGGGGGTTGGGGGCGGAAGGGGGGGGGGGTGGATTTGAAGGTTGGTTTATAGAGGAACACTTTTCGATTCAGGAATAAAACTCGGAGGAAAAATTATACGCTATGTGAAAAGGCAAGGCGCATGGTTCGTATTTATCTGCACTGGTGACGTATTCTTTGCGTCATATAATATATAGAGTATGGAGAGAGTCGGTGATCCTTAGTGGATTGAATCTTATTACTTTAAATTTTTGTTGGCGAAGGAGAGGAAGGGAAAAAAGCGCATCGATGGAATGTTTAAGAAGCCAACGTCACAGATGAAAACACTGAAAAAGAGACAAAAGCAGTTTCTAGGACACTTGAATCGGCATAAAAGCCTAGCACATGTTACTCTCATTGGAAAAATATAAAGCAATTAAGGTAGAAGTAGACCAAAAATAACTCATTTAGAAAACCTGAACAGATGAGTAACGGAATGGAAAAAGACCAGGGTAATATCGATTTTTGGAGAGCATCCGTGTAGAGAAATGAGTGCCAAACTATGCTGTTCCCATGTCTGTTTCAGTTCTGAGACTTGAAGAAGGTTTAGTGGTTAGCTAGGCGTGATGGGGACGGAAACCAGTCTTTGACTTCAACAAATTCACATTGGGGTTGAATCATGTGTGTTTAAGGAGGAGAAAAAAGGGAGGGGGTGGGGAGGTAGAGGAGGTTTTTTTCCCTCATCAGCAAAGGCAAAAGGGACGGTTGAGGAGCTCAGTGAAGAGACAAAAAAAACAGCTGTTCCAACACGTGTCCATTTTCTGTTCCAAATGTCAACAGACGACAATTTTCTGAAAGAATAATAGTCCAAAGATGCTGAAGATAATTAACCCAAGCAGGGACAATTAAAGGCGTTCCTCACAGAACCATAATAATCTAGCTGGTGCCGGAGGAACTAATTGTTTTAGCGGGGTCAGAGAGGCGTACGAACAGATATTTTTTTGGTAGTGATTTCAAATTATTCTACGTGGCAATTTACGATAAGTAGTCTTTGTAGTAGGAGTGAAAGCTGTCGTTTACTGAACTGAACAAAGGTGGCTTTGTAAGTATGAGAAATTTGCGTACATGGGTGATGATGGATAGGGGCTTGGGGATGAATGCTGAAGAGCATTATTACATTTTGAATTGTGAGCGTGGCTGCTTGGAGTGCGCTCTGGTGAGCTTTGCTCCTTCTTTCCTATCAAACGTCTATTGTCATTATCTCTCGACCTTCTTTTCTTTGTACACAGTAATACCTCTAATCTCCGGCACTTTTAAGATCTGCCTCTGTTGCTAGTACCGTTAAACTCTTACTAAAACTAGAACTAATCTGAATTATGGGTTGTCGAAATTGAAATGCAGTGGAGTCAGAAGATTCGAACCTTGGATTAAGGATCAAGTGGGACATGACATATCAAGAATTCGTTTTCCTACTGACTCCCTCCCCCCCCCCCCACACCCCCCCCACACCCCCCCCCCCACCCACCAGCAGCAGAAATAAGGAAAAATCAATTTATGTTGAGAACTGTTCTTTCACTTCAACTGATCTAGGGAATTGCTTGATTTCTGTTCAGTTTTCTGTCTAACCAGTATGACCACTAAACGTCCGATCTTGCACAAAGAGATGCACCTGACAACCTCTCATGGTGGAGCACTCCTCCTAAAAACCAATAATCTGTGACACGATGCGGTGGAATCAGGCACTCGTCAATTTTTGGACGTATCAAGTATAATCTTAAAGCTTGTTAATTTGTCTTACTTTCAATGAAAAAACAAACAAACCCAACAACTCATCTGTCTTAAATAGAAGCTGAGATATTTCAATTGAAGGAGGTTGGGGTTGCCCGATTTTAGAAGTAAAATTTACCGGGAAATGGCCGCCAAAGTTAGGGGACTTCCAAAGCTTGAAAGTTCTTGGAAACTGCAAAATTACATTTATAAAATGCCTTTAAGCAATGTTTGTAAAATCCACACAGCAGTTTCTTTTGAAATGGGCCTAAATGGTTCTGGGCCTAAAAACGAAAATAAAAATGATAAAAATTGCCAAAAAGCAGAAAAACGCTGGTTTCTTCGATTTCATCACTTTGGCGAGCGCCTGATTTCACCCCGATGCCCCCTCACATTTGGTCACTTTTAAACACAAGGAAGCTATCCCTAAAAATGTCGTTTTGAGAAAATCGAAGGTGAAAGTTTGCCCCGAGTTTAGTTTCTGTAAAAGACAAGGAGAATTTTCTCTATAACCAAACAAACACTGTATACACACCAATGAAACCAAACTTCTCCTATAGGTAGGGTAATGCCCATTTTTGGGGAAGGTCAAGATTTCTGGAAACCGCCGAAATCTGGGTAAGCACGTTTGTCCTTAAATGCGACCATTTGTGTCGGCGTTAAACACAAATGCACAAATGTTCCTAGAAATGTAGGCCTACTCTGAAAATCTCCGGCGTCTGTGGTGTTGCGGTCGGTCGCTTTGCCGTCGCGTACAGAAGATCTGAGTTCGACTCCTGGTTGGGAAGAATTTTTATCGATTATCTCATCGTTTTTTTATGGGACGTTGTATCTCTCTCAGCCCGGGTTGGCACGGATAGACGGGATCGAAGCTTGCGTCCTAACTAAACGATTTTAATTATGTCAATGGGGGCGTAAACTACGTACATAAAAAAAGCTAAAATAAACCTAGAGATATCCTATAGAAATAATGCCAGATCCTTTTTCTCATTTACCACTTTTATTTTTTTTTCTCTCCAATCTGTCACTCCTGCCTCTTTATTTCCCGCCTACCGACTTTTCACTTTCCCAGAATTTTTTTTAATGTGTGTGTGTGGGGTGGGGTGGGAAGGGGGGTTCTCATCTGAGGTAGCGTGCGGTGATCTTTTCAAAACACATTGCACGTCTCTTGTGCCCTTACAAGTACAATAGACGATACGGCATTAACACAAGTACATGTAATTACATGTGCTGCCACATGGCGACATGAAGAGAGGCAGTTGTCTCGCCAAATGGAAACTCACAATTCTTGACTTTTCAGTTATTTTTAACAAAAGAATGTATTGACTTGTACAAAGACGTATTTATTCCCATACACAATGGCTGTTTCCTCATCAGCCCTTATCTCTGTCTCACATCCGAAGAAATAAACAAACACACACACAAATACACAAACTCATGGTGTATTCACCAACCTTAATCCCAAACATTCACACAGACACACACCGATAAACACACATACGCGTACGCACACTTTCACTGTGTACTCACCAGTCTGTCTGTCTGTCTGTCTCTCTTTCTCTTTGTTTCACCCCCCCCCCCCACACGGTGAACTCACCAGCCCTTATTTGTTATCGCACTATGTCAACGTCTGCTGGGTTTTTTCTCCCCAGAGCCAGATGATTCATCACCAGAAGAAGGTCACGTGACGATAATGAGGATTCTATTTATAGCCTCAAATTGACCAAATTTTATCGGGACAAGCCAGGAGGACCACATTCCCAAGATGCAGTGGCGATTTTCCTTCGTCCGGACCCAGATATTCCGCAGGAAGGTGAAAAAAATCGTCAAATACTTCCTCGCCTTCATCATCGTCGTCTTTTTCCTCCTCCTCCTCATCGCGTCTGCCGAGCAGACGTGCCCGCCGGAAGGCTGTGGCAAGGTCACTGGCGGTCAAGCCAGCCCCTACGTCATCACTCACCCTTACAGACACAGGAGGCCGAACTCCGACGTTAAGAGGATACTCAGGTGGACTGGCTTCTTCGAGGACTTGTCCTGGGAGGAGACAGATGACTCTTACTTCCAGCCCTGCAAGGTGAGAGATAACGCTGAGCATACTTTTCATTCCGACTGGCGTCTGTGGCGTAGCGGCGTAGCGGCTAGGAGATATTATTATGAGTTCAATAGCTGCCTGTCTGCCTGTGTGTCTGCCTGCCTGCCTGCCTGCCTGCCTGCCTGCCTGCCTGCCTGCCTGTCTGTCTGTCAGCGTGCAGGAGACATCAGTTCAATTCCAATGTTGGACGAATTTTGATCGAGGTACTCATTTTGTCTGCTTGGACGTTGTATCTATTTCAGCCCGAGCAGGTTGGAAGACAGCCTCCTAGATTATCTAAATTGTGTCGATGGAGACATACAAAAACACCTGCACGTATAATTTTCACTTCTTAAATCCAACAAATGAAATAATATTATTTCTGCTGCATACTGCCATAAGACAAAGATGTTAACCCATTAGACTGAGACGTGTAGCCCTGACGTTTATGGTGTGTCCACAGGTCAACAAGTGCACCATGACCAACGACCGCGCCCTGCTAGACCAGAGCGATGCCGTACTGTTCCACGTGGGGGCGCTGTGGAACTTCTGGAGGGGTGCGAGCCTGCCCAGTAGACGGCACGCGCATCAGGTGAGTTGTTGGTGGTGGGTAACTGTGTGTCGTGAGTAGAAAAAAAGGTGTGTGTGTGTGTGTTTGGGGGAGGGGGGTTACCACATTCTGTTTCTTCAAGTTTGTTTTCATTATCTTTGATAAATTTTCTGTATTCACAACTGTGAAGACAAGTTGACATTGTAAGGAATAATACTACAGTTTATTATTATTAGTGATTATCTACCTTACTGGATTGTTATGTTTCTATTGGAGTGACTATTTGGAAATGTTCTCTATTCCAACATTAGAAAGTGACTGCTCTTTAGTTGAACTGAAATACTTATATATGTATATCACCAGTCTGTGGTGTAATGGTTAAGCTCTTCGCTGTCGTATACAGAAGACTTGAGTTCAGTCCTCAAGCTGGGAGGCTTTTTATTGCATTTTTGACTCGCTGATAGGGTACACTATAACCGAGAAGGTGTATTTCTGAAAGCACGAGAACAATTCGGACCTCACTCCGTTTTGAACCTTAAATTTCTGTGTTTGCCTTCAGAGCTGTTACCAACAGCGCCAAAATCGACGGTGTTGTTTGCGCTGACTTAAATTAGGTTTAGTCGATGGTCGCCAGAGAAAGAAAACAGTTTTCCTGAATGTTTTCTTGGTTGTTTTCCAGTTCTTAACATGCTACCAAAAGCGGCCGTGTTGTGATCCGGTGCGGATTACCAGTCGATGGAAGCGAGGACACTGTGGGGACGTTGTCCTAGTTTGTCCTCACAGGATCACAGCTTGGCGATACATCACAGAAAATAGTACTCTTTGTCTTTCTCCCCCCCCCCCTTCCTCCATCTTTCTGTTTCTCAATTTCCCTATCTTTGTCTCTGTCTCTGTCTGTCTGTGTGTCTGTCTGTCTGTGTGTGTGTGTGTGTGTGTGTGTGTGTGTGTGTCTGTCTGTCTGTCTCTCTGTCTGTCTCTCTGTGTCTCTCTCTCTCTCTCTCTGTCTCTGTCTCTCTCTCTGTCTCTCTCTCCCTCTCTCTCTGTCTCTCTCTCTGTGGCGTCAGTAGCCAAGGGGTTAGGCTACCTGACTTGTAATAATGAGATTGCGAATTCGGGGATTCGAGCCTCATCTCGTCCGACGTGATGTCCTTGGGAAGGGGACTGGACTTGAAATTCCCAATTGGCCCGGTCCTTTCGGCGATGGTCGTTAAATTCAGAGGCCCGCCTCCTAAATGACCTAATAGTGTTGATAGGGGCCTTAAACCTGTACCGTTTCACCATTTCTCTCTATTTCTCTCTCTCTCTCTTTCTCTCTCTCTCTCTCTCTCTCTCTCTCTCTCTCTCTCTCTCTCTCTTTCGTTTTAGCCTATTTAATAGTTTGTTTACAGCACCGTGCTCCATTCAGGTGTCAAAGTGTCTTGTGTTTACGGCACAGTGAACGTGGCCTCTTGAGTCTTATATTTGTATGGCACGACTTGTGTATCAGATTTCATATTATTTATCTACACGTTTATTTTTGTGTGTATAAATCATTTTTCCCAGATATTTATACCTTCGGCGGTTATCCTTAGAAGGCGTGTTGTTACATAAACAAGCAGCTTGCTACTGTACCTTACTTTTGTGTTAAAACAAAAAAGACACACTCAAAAAGAAAAAAAAGACCCAAACAACCCAACAAACAAACTAAAAAAACAAAAAACAAAAACAACAACAAAAAAAACCCCACCAAACAAACAAATCCACAACTATAACGAGCAAAATAATATTTAAAAATTGTCGGAAAGAATATACGTTTTTGAATTATGACTTACACTCTGATTAGCAAAAGATAATAATAATAATAATAATCTTGATCTTTGATTTTTTTTTTATCTTTTCAGAACCATCGGAGTCTGTGTCGGCCGGCGGTGACGTCTGCCTGGATTACACATTCCACCAATGAGAGCCGAGCATGAAGCATGACGGGGTCGTTGCTATGGACGCGACCTCTCGGGCAGAGGAGACTACTGCTGACACTTGTTTGGATCTTTACTGCTGTTGGATCTAGTTCTGGGCAAGGTAAGACAACCCGAGCTTTCCTCTAACTGTTTGTCTGTTTGTCTGTTTTCTTTTCTGTCTAGCTGTCTCTTTGGCTGTTCGTCTTCTCAGCTGTCTTTTTGCCTGTCTGCTTGTCTGTCTAGCTGTCTGTCTGCTTGCCAGTCTACTAGTCTGTCTTCTTTTCTGTCTACTTGTCTGTTTAGTTTTCTGTCTAGCTGTCTGTTTACTTATCTGTCTGCTTATTAGTCTAGCTGTTAATCTAACTTCTGTGCGGACCTGTTGTTCTGTTTTTGTGTCTGTTTGTCTCTCTTTCAATCTGTCTGTCAGTTTGTCTGTCAGTCTGTCTCCCTCTCTCTCTCTCTCTCTCTCTCTCTCTCTCTCTCTCTCTCTCTCTCTCTCTTTCTATCTGTCTTAATGTGTGTCTGAGCATCTGTCCGTCTATGTCCTTCCTTTCAGTCGCAAGATCTCCTGTTTAAATATGAAATTGTATCGAAAAGCTCTCTTTTAAAAATAATATGCTGCTTTGAAAATTCACTGGGTTAGTCTTTGTGTGTGCGTGAGTACTGTGTTTGCAGAGAAAGGAGACAAAATATTGCTTCTTTTGGTGCCTCTTTTCGCTTGAAATTTCTCTGATTTTCAGAAAGATGCATAAAAAGAATCAAAGTGCTATATAGAGAAAAGAAACGCACAAAAAGCCCCACAAAAACAAACAAAACAAAACACCCCTCCAAAATAAAGGAAAGAAAGAAAGAAAAGAACCGAAAAAAAAGAGAAAAAAAAGAAAAACGTACAACACGAACAAGAGTGCCGACAAAATACGAGAAGGAAACGTCATCCCGGGGGGAATGTAAAGCTCTACACATTTACATGTAGACTCCATCTACAGAACAAGCCCCATAAGCCTGGCTCTGTCTTAAACTGTCTTACACTGTCTTGCACTGTCTTACACTGTCTGCCCGCATCCAGACAAGCCCACCCTCCCCTACCTCTCACCCCACGCACGGCTCGTGCACAATATCGATACGACATAGGCCAAACATCTATTGCCTTTTGCCATGGAAGCAGAAGAGAATATCATACATTATATACTCTTGGCGATCAACATGATCTGCTGTTATGACGCGCACTCATGCATAATCTTTGCGGGAATTTCCATTTTAAATATTGGGGATTTTTTTTTTTTTTTTTTGGATGGGGCGCGATGACCGTAGAGTGACGTGCATTCTTGCTTGTTGGCTTGTTGGTACTCGAGGTTTGGGGTATTAGTTAGTTGTTGACGGACTATTGGATGTTTTGATTGACGTTGTGAATTATGGTCAGTCCCCTCTTGTCCCAACAAAAGTTGCGACCCCACCCCCACCCCCCACACGCACACATGCACACTCACACAACTAAATAAATGTAATCATGTGACCCTATAAAACGGACCCCTTCCCCCCCCCCCTACCCTCACCCCCCTCTCCACCCGACCCATTCTATCATACCCCAACAACATAAAATAGTGCAACACCCATGTACCTCATAATTATTACATTACCCCATGACATAGATCACGAATCTTGCATTACCCCATGACATACACCGCGAATCTTACATTTACATTATCCCGCGACATAGATCAAGCGTCTATTCCTCCCGCCCCCACCCAGTCCACTACACCCCAACAACAAGTACAACCCCCCCCCCCCTAAAAAAACAACAACAAAAACTCCACTAAGGCCAAGCTGATTGACGGTAACGGGAAATATTTGCCACGAACTCATCCGGTAAATATCATGACGTTTTAGGGGGTAAAGTAGTTTATTTTTATGGGGAAGAAATGTTACGATTCCTTTAACAAAAAATCGAAGTGAGTGAGAGAGCAAAGGAGCGAGATAGTAGGAGGGAGAGAGAGAGTAGGAGAAAGAGAGAGTGGGCAGAGAGAGAGATAGATAGATAGATAGAGAGAGAGAGAGAGAGAGAGAGAAAGAAAGAGAGAGAGAGGACGTAAAGGCAAACAGGCAGATAGACAGCGAAAGAGAGAGAAAGAGAGAAAAAAGACAGGGACAAAGATATAGATAATATTGAACGAAAGAGAGAGACAGCCATAGACATATAAACACACTCACATAAACACACACACACACACACACACACACACACACACACACACACACACACACACCCTCGCATACACACAAACGCACATACAATGAGAGATAGAAAGAAAGAGACA